GAGTAGGAAAGGAGACCAGATAATGTCTGTTGAACATAAACAAAGGTAATATTTTGTCAGAACCCATCAAAAAGATGTCTTCCTTTATCATGTCCCTCAGTACAGCCAAATGTCCAACAGTATTTTGTCTAGAAATAGGTTGACCAGTATACTTGAGTCTATAAAGTGACCTCCTTGCCTCAGCCTTAATGAACAGATGCAGAGGAGGAAGACCCAATAGAACTGTAGTATCATAGACATGGCCCCATTGATAATAAGACATTCACTATGCTGCAAACTTTGCAGCTTAGTTTGACAATACTTGCAAAGCATCTAGATCATCAAACTAAGGCAGCATAGACAATTTTGGACCAAACCACCATATTAAAAATTCAAAGAGACACATGGTTGTACACCCCATGTTTTGCCCTCTACATAACCTAGATAAGCTCAGGTATATCTACACCTGAGCTTATCTAGTGTTATGTATGTAAACCTTCAGGGGATAACCCACACTGAATTGCCCCTTAACCTAGTTAGGCAACCCTGCACCTCTGACCTTTGTCAGAGGCGCAGGGTCGCCTAACTGTTACAACAGGCCTAAGTGTTACAACAGCAGGCCTAAGTGTTACAGCAGGCCTAAGTGTTGCAGGCAGCCTAAGTGTTACAACAGCTAATGCACAACTGTGCATTAGCTGTTGTAACATTTAGACCTGGAGGCACAAAGTTATGTTTGTATTATAATAAAGTTAATTATATACATTAATAAGTAATCGTTTATTTTACGAACACAACATCTAGTTACATCTCAAGGTGTAAAATCCATAACAGTCTAGAGTCAAATAATACCCTAAGATACTTGACCACAGAAAACTTCACCCTTTTATCATAGAGAAGCCCACCACTGGTCAAGTATGACCACTGGTATACTGGTAGTTTGTGGATTTGTGCCTTACCAACAGGCTGGCCACATGAAGTTTTTTTGGTTTTCTTACATTTGTAACACTTAAATAGGAGCCAGTTTCGAAAGTCCTCTTGGGAGGTATCCCCATGGCAGATTGTCCATGTGTTGCATTGCCTTATACAAACAGTTACATATGCCTGCACAGTTCAGCACATAATTCATGCCTCTTTGAAAGAGATCTGACATACTACTGGAAAATTTCCCCATACAAAGCAGTACAATATCACCTGCATAATCCTAGGTATATAACCCTGAATCATTAAGGTTTTGCAGATCATCCATAATAATGAAAGAGCACCATTTTGAGGGCAGCCTTTCACAATGGATGCTCTTAGGGAAGTACCAAAAGGGGAAATGGCTCAGCATAAAATCAATATAGCATACAAGAGCTGGACTGATGCCATATTCAATTGCAGCATATTTGATAGCTTCCAAAGACCCTATCAAAAGCACCCTCAATGTCAAAAAATGCAGCTAATAGAATCTTCTTGGAATTCAAGGCTCTTTCAGTTTGGAAGACCAAACTGTGTAAGGCAGCCTCATGACGTTCAATTTGCCAGGTTGATAAGTAAATTGAAGTAAATGGAAAAAAACTTATTGAAATAAATGCCCTTCAAATACATTTAATGAGCTTCTCCAATGTCTTTAACATAAAAGGCATTTGGTTAATAGGTCTAAAAGCTTTGGTTTCAGAATAGCAATTTCATGATAGATTTAGGAATAAAAACCACATTAACCAGTCACTAGGTCAAAGATACATAGTCTAATACTAGATAGGCACAGTAAATATGACAAAGAATAACAACATTAATTAAGTGGGGTAAGTAAATACAGTTAGTGGAAATTGTGGTTTTATTAACTCTGACATAAAAATACATGTTAAAGTAATTAAAATTGTATATCTTGATGCTTTATTAAACTTTTTGACAGAAAAAATTATGCACCCAGTTAGAAATGTTTTATTACTATATTTCAAAACTCAGCATACACCAATGTTTCAGACAGGTATATAAATGAATGCAGTTATGGTCCAAATTGCATATCAGGTAATGAAACTGAATATATCAAAATCGCTACTTCAGTATTCTATTAAAGGTTTGCAGAGGGTTATTGTGTCAGAATTTTCACTGTATTTGTTGTTTGGAGGTCTTAAAATGCAAGACATGCCTGTATGATGCAGTAAAACACATTAGGCCTACATACATACATACATATATATATATATATATATATACATCATATATACTTATGCAAATATACTTTGACATATGGATAGTTGGTCTATTCCTTCTAATGTAATAGAATAATATATTAAACTTAACTTTCAGCAAAGTATTATTATTTTTATTCCTTTCAAGAAATAATACATAAATGACAATGGAAAAGTATATAACAGATTGAACTTATGAGTGTGCAAAAATTGTCTTTTCCATTTTTTCTGATCTTTCTTTATTTTTTCATAATAATGATAATTATAACAACATGCAAAAATAATATTATGTATAAAATAAACTTATTATAAAGCTTTTAATAAAATAAGAAAATATAAACAAAGATTAATATCACTAAAAAATAATTAAATCTATATGGTTTATTATTTTATTAGAAGAAATGGAAAAATTTAGTAATTAAACAAGAGAAGATAAAACTATAGATATCAAAAAATATAAAAAATAATTTATACTTCTCAAACATAGAAGTAACCTGCTTGATTAAAGCAACCAAAAATTTTAAACTACTATGATTTAAAATATTTATAATTTAGTTAAACAAAACAACTGTTTTATCCGAGACAACAGAGTTGAAATGACAATCTAACACAAAATTAAACAAATGCTGTTTTATACTGTTATGCAACATATCCCATTTAGCATTACCAATATTTATAAAAGTACTGTACCAGTAGGAATAATATTCCAATTATTGAGAAAAATAAGCAAAGTTTAAATGTTTTCGTAATTTAAATGTGTTTCTTTTTCCTCCTCCTTCATAATTCTCTACACTATATATTAACAAAATTTCAAATATATCGTGTTTGATTTTAACTAAATCTGTATCCCTTTCAAAGAAATGTACCAGTAATTCAAAAGCAATTAAACAAATAAACTCTACCTATTTGGTTTTCATCATTATTTTTTATTGTAAAGTTACACAGAAATAATTGATGAATAACAAAAACAAGAATCTTTAAATAAATTTGATATAAAGGAATGGAT